TATTAGCAAATTCTCGGCCCGAGGGCCGAGATAATGCGGCAGTAAAACAATCTCGAAAGAATACACGAAATGACACGCAGGTCATTTAAATTAGAGAGCTTTACAACATTTTCAGGGAGAAATTGTGGGAATCTATTGATCACAAATGGATGGGAGATTCGGGAGGGGGCACGAAAAATTTACATTTTAAAAGATAACTAGCAAATGGATATCGCTTCATTTATGCTTGGTATTGGCGGTGGGCGGTGATGTGCTCGACGTAGGCATCTCTTGACCACTTCAGCGCATCGGCGACCATCAACTTCTTCATCAGCGCGGCGTACTTGACGGAGACGGCGAGTCGGCGCAGCACGTTGTCGTTCTCTTGGTCCCATCCGCCGAGTGGCCCGACGATGAAGGCGTCCAGGAACGTGTCGTAGCCATCCGCGTTGAACTTGTTGAAGATGTCGGCGTACTTGCGGAGCTTCTCGGCACGTGCGGCAGCGAAGACGCTCAGGTCGTGGTTCTCGAACGGCATGGTCACGTCCACGATCGTCACACGCTTCTTCACATGGTCGACGAGGGCGAGATCGGGACGTAGTTGACCATCAGTGCCGGGGATCTTGACATTGACATATTTCGTGGTGGTCGCGGGCAGCTTGATGGCGTTGACGAGGCGGTCGAGGACGGCGTTGTGGCGCAGGGTGATGGCGTGGGCGTGAGCAGGGCAATGACACAGGACGTGGGCGACGCTCTCGAGTTGGTAGCCACATCTTCGGCAACGCTTGTCTTTTTGATCACGGGCACGGTTGCAGCCATTTAGTGGAACGACGTCGAGTCTTGCACGGTGAACGAAGCGCCAGTCCGCAAAGCGGATATAGCGTCCGTCACGCAGGAAGTAGTTGGAGACGGGCTGGTGGGCGGTGATGTTGTAGACCTTGCCCTGGCTCTTCTTGGCGGTGAGGTGAACGAGCTGAGCTTGATGGACGGCGCGCTTGAGCATCCTTTCACACGTCTTCTTGGTGACGCCACATCCGAGCACGAGCAGTTGGATCTTGTCGTTGGCTCCACGCCCACTTCACATCGAGCTTGTCGGTTTTCACGAGGTGGCTGGTCGTTTGTCGCACTCTTGTCCACCCATGGGGTGTTTTTTGGGGTAGTATGCTCCCGAAGGCGCCGTCAAGCTTCTGGTTCAGGTAGTCGGCCACTTCGGAGTCGGTTGGCGCATCGCTTGATCTTCTGCTGCCCAGCGGTAAATGGGGGAGCAGCGGAGCAGCCCACGGGGCCTGAGATCAGCCGACCCCTCAACAATTGGATTTCATGCACCAGCTGCATCAATGTCGGCGAGGGCCTTGGTCTGGATGTAGTCGAGGCCTCCCATGTTGTCGGGCATTAAGATGACCAGGCCGGGCTGGATTCTGGCCGCTCATCCACGACTTGGCGAATCTTTTCAACTTCTTGTCGAACGGGGATGAGGTGCTTTTTCTTCTCGGACGTGCTCACTCTTCAGATGGAAGGCGATGGGCAGGCAGGATGAAGGTGTTGACGGCAACCGGGCTTTCCGCCAAGGGGCGAGCAGAGTGGAGTGGATTTCGTCGAGGCACTGGTGCATCTTAAGCGATATTCCTGTCTGCAGAAGAGCCTGCAGTGCAGCCAGTGGGGGACGCCGAGATGTTCGTAGTGGTCGTTGGCGTCGAGCATCAACATCTCGATCCTTGAACCCAGATGCTGGATCGCCATGGTGTTGTGCTTGTTGGAGTTGATGACGAGGCTGGGCGTAAAATACTTTTTGCTGCTGAACACGAGACCTAGCCATGTAGAGACTTCGGACACGGTCTTGAGCACGGCATGAAGGTCGTCGGGGTCCTTGATCACGATGGCCAGGTCGTCAGCATAGGCGAGCACACGGACACCATCCGGTCATTGGATCACTTTAGAAGCCAGCATCCATTTTGCCGACGGCACGGATGACGGGGCTGGAGGGCGAGAAGGCCGGGGACGATCGGCGAAAGAAAAAAGCCCCGTTTGACAATCTCGCTTGATGGTTGATGGCCGGAGTCGGACCAGTCGAACTTCGGACGGATGTTGTGGCACCTTCGTAGAGACGACGAATTTCTTCAATCGCCTCCACCGAAAGGCCAGCGTATTCGAGGCATCGGAAGATGGATGCATGCGGGACGGAGCCGAACGCGTTGGAGAGGTCGAGCCAGGCAATGCGCACTTGCTGGTGCCGATCCTTGTGTCGCGACGAGTCTGGACGATCACGGACTGGAGGGGGAGGTTGTTTTTTGTGCATCCCCTCAACCGAGTATGAAGCCCTTCTGCTCATTGGAGATGCGGTTGTAGAGGTGGGTCTATCTGCCGATCCCCCGAGCCCTCACGGACGTGTACAACTTGGCTATGGTAAGCTTTGAGAGTGAGATAAGCCTCCAGTTGGAGACGTCATCTTTCGGGTCTCTTTCTTTGTGCACCAAAATGGTGTTCGAGCCGTTCCAGGAGCTTGGGATGTACTTTTTGAGGCGGATGGCATTCGGTAGCGGCGAGGACCGTGGCACCCGGGTCGAACAGTTTCCAGATCGCGTATCGGACAAATCGTCGGGGTTGTAGAGGCTGTGCTCTTTGACGTGTACGAGCCGGTCCCAGATGCTGGGCGGCCGGGTAGTCGTCGGCGAACGGGTTGTCGGCACCGTCGGGGACGTCTTGGCTCATGTCGTATATCAGAACGTGGTAGTCGCGCTTGATCCCGGCACATCAGTCTTGGTGAACACTTGGGAGAATTCCGTGTGTAGATCATCGCACGGGATTTCGCAGTATGGCGAGGATTCCTCGGTGATTTCCTTGAAGGCTCTCGGCCGAGACCGACGGTAGAGCTTCTGGATGCGGGCAGCGGCTTTGGGACAATACCGAGCTTGGTCGTGGCGACGCCGCTCTGGTGCTGGGGGATGTTGGAGCACGATCTGAAAAACAGGGGGGTGGCTTGCGAGGTGGAGTGCTTGTCCCGGATCATTTGCTTGTCTTTTGATGGCCTTGATCACGTCGTCGGCCAGTCGTTCCAGGTTGGTGTGGTCGGCCACGTCGTTGAACCGTTGAACCCAACCGTCTTGTGTGATGTCCTTCAGGGGCAATGATTTGATGAGGAGCATCGGGTGACGGAGGACGGCTTTGTGGCGGGCTTGCGACTTGAGCACGGGCAGGACGGCGCACTGAGTTGCCGGGCGTGACGAACGTCTCAGACTCGCTATCACTGGAGCGCACCTTTTGATCCCCAGGCTGGGGCCCTCGAAGCCCCGATCCGCCGGGGGTTATTCCGAGCGACGACGGGTTGGACGGGTGGCGGTGGCTGCGTGGCGTCTCGTTAACAGGCGACGGTTTTGGCTTGGTGGTTTTTCAATCGCTTTGATCGTATCAAAACGAAGTCCGGCAGACGGCACACATCGGAACTTGATGGGAGGTGGTGGGTGAGCTTGAGATGCCGCGTGTGAGTCCCTGCAACTTATACGGTC